GAAATTGCCCTTAGTCACACAGCGCCCCCCCCCAAAAAAAAAGGGGTTAAAAAAAAAAAGAGGAAGTAAAGTGCACTAAATGATGATACAAACTTTTGAATCTGCAGGTTTTCGTAAAGCATCTAAGACACCACGCAAAGCTATCCCAAGTGTAAGATGAGTTACAAGCTGATGCTTGATAACAGAGCCTGAAATTTGTTTGGAACCATGACAGAATAAATCAAAGAGAGTATTGACGTGATAGAAATATCATATAAAATGAATTATAGCATAATGAAGCAATAGAATCATGCAAACTATGATACATTATAAATTATATGATTTATCTCTTAAGCTGTAAAACATAAAATCCATCAGAACATATATTTGCAATATCACATACAATGAATTCCAAAAATATTTTCTGCTTGCTAATAAAAGTATGAAATTATTGAAGGGATTTGGACACATTAAAAATGATGACCAGATAAACCACAAAACTTTGGAGGATGGTAGCCCTGATAAAAAATTTGAACGTCTTCCAATAGATTGCTTGAGTTAACTGATGGATTAGGTCCAGGTCAAAATTCAAAACAATAGTCACATGAACACTGCTAATGTAAAACGCAACTGAAGTGGTAGGAACGCAATTACTACAAAATCTGAAGCACATTCACCACCAAGAGGCCCATTGCCCATTAACAATATATTCAAGGTGACAATCTTCAGAACCAAACCAATATGACTCTTGTCAACATAGGAAAATGATTTTTTGAATAAATTTACAGTAGAAATATTCTTCTATAATACAAGCAGCTTGACCAAAATCATTAATAATAATAAAAAAAAAAACAAAAATCAATTTTCATGGACTTTTCTCCATCGATATGAATTTAGTCAGCTACATAATTTCAAAGCTGAACAAATGACTATAAAGGGTGGATACATAAAAAAATGATGCAAAATATAGCAAAATATACACATTACTCATTTTCCAATTTTCCTTGAAAAGCCAGGCACTTGGTTGCAATATAGAACAATGTAAGTAATGAAAAAATTATCAGACATGATATCAAGAATATAAAGTGTCTGTACTAAAAGCTACATTGTATGAAAACATACCAAACAGAACTGCAGCAATCTTGAGCTGCCTATCAGGATACTTTGGGAAAAATCTGTATTCTTCAAACAAATTGGCAATCATGCACTCAAAAATTAATTGCTCCCTGTCAGTGATAAAATAGTCCTTAAATCATCAATTCTTTAAGGAATGAATTTCTTCAGTTCAAAAGTTAAGTTTCTTAAATAATTATGACCAAAAAGAGATAAAAAGAATGAAAGTGAAATTTCAAAGTCACAAAACATACATAAGAATGGTACTGAAGCAACACAATACCTTTTCACAGAAGATTCCTTGAATCGTGCGAGCATTTGAACCATTGCATCAATGGTCAGCTGACCAGAAAACATTTGATGGAAGTAAGAATTTGCTTCTGCTTCAATATCATCTCCATATCCATCAGAGGATGATGATTCAGTAGTTCCACCATTCTGCAGCTTTGGATTAGAGTCCATTATTGTTGCCTGCAACTTCTCCATTTCTTCAATAAGCTGGGTAGAGGAAATCAATCCAGTTTGATCTTTAAGGACCTGCAATGTAAACATGAAAAAAGTACAGTATGAAAACATATTGCATTGAAATGGTAAGACCAACCAAGTTCTAGGAACAGAACCTTGAAAAAAACAGCACTTGAATGGTGGAAAAGTTTGGCAGAAAAATCCTGAGATCTGCCAGACTGAATCCCCTTGAGGAACTTGAGACACTCCTGAAAGTTTCAGTATTCATTTCAGCCCATATATTTTTTTGATTTAAACCAGAAGTAGTAAAAGCACTGGAGTCAGGTAGTAAAGACTAAATATTACCTCAAAGAAAATATCTTTATACATATATAGGTTATCATTTAACCACTTCTCAAGATCAACAAGTTCTTTTCGTGAAGCAATGATGGCTAGTCTTATACTGGAAGGAAAAGGTATCATCTCCAAAACTGTTGATAGAATCTGCAAAAATTGGAAAATTTAATTATTAAAGGAATAAAAAATCTGGAAATAATTTCTCTCATTAGCAAATTCCCAAAATTCACATGTATAAGAACCAAAATATTTGACATTAAAATTAGTCTTTTGGCAGAAAAACGTTTCTCTTATGCTGGTAAAGCAATATGAGATGACAATAACAGGAAAAAATAAGTGGAACCTCTAAAACTTACCTTTAGCTCTAGACAGATTTCCACAATTCTAGTTATGTTGTCTTGCTCAGACTTGAGTAATTCTACAAGTCCCCGCAACAAAAGATTTTGGTTGACTTGCCAGAGGTAAAGGATCATTCCAGCGCCCACAGAATTTTTAATTATCATTGGCAAAACAATGGAAGTTACATCATGCTGGAGGAGGTTATAAGACGTCTGAAAATATAGAGGAAATAATATTTATTAACAAAGAATTATGCATACAAATTAAAAAAAGGATTATTCCAAAAAAAAAAAAAAAAGAAATTAGATTATGTACATTAACATGTGCCATCCCAAGAAGCAAAACCTCTGGACAGTGTTTCAAAGGATACTCAAGCATTAATTTAACAGCTCTAGCATGACCACTCTCAGCTAGTTTACAAAGCACTTCCAAAAGGTCAAGACACAACCATGCAAGATTTGCATCTTCTAGCTGAAGCTTATGCCCATGTACTGCATCTATATAGACCTGCAAGAGCATTCATTATCACTAATCATCACCAATCAAATGTTGTGATAGCAAAAGGAAAAATGCAAAACCAGTTTCGCATAACATCTTACCAGCTGTCTTCCAGAATGGACAAAGGTAAATACTTCTGGAGGTGATAATACAGCATATTTTAGAAAAGATAGTTGACCCTCAGTATTATTCCACAGAGATCCACAAATGGCATGGAGAGGGAAAGGTTCCTGCACATTTCAATTCCAGAAATTCAGAATAAAGTAAAAAATCAAAACTGAAATGCATAACTTAACCCAAGCCAAAAGGAAATTAAAAAAATACCTGGCATGCATATCTATAGGCAGACATGAAAAGGGAGAATGCTGCCTCATTAGGAATGTAGAACCCTTCATGATCAAGGTTTTCAACAACTCGTACCCAGTCAGTAGCAGGAGCCTGCATTCAGTGTACATGTGTTAAAACAAAACAGCAACAATAAAACTTACTAGTTGTCTTATGCATAAATCGACAACTTACAAGTTGCTTTATGGTTCTTATAAGAACATCAATATTCCAGGAGCTCAAAAGTGGAAGATCAGATGAAGTGTTGCAACCAAGAGCCATGCTAAATGATGAAAATATATTCGAGTTTTCCTCAAGACCAGAATGAGTGCAGGCAATCATGCCAAGTATCCTAGCAATAGTCATCTCAGTCAGAGGCAGACAAAGAGACAAAATCTCTTTGCAATGTGAAACATCAACCGTGCATCCATAACCCAGTTCCCTCATGATGTCTACCACGCTCATTTCCTTCTCCATTTCTGCTAAAATAGCATCAAAATCATTTCCTGCAGACTCATGAAAAAGGTCCATATCTCTGCCAGAAAAAAGAAAGCAACTCAGAAACAAATACCACTTAACATGATGGCTTGTAATCAATTGAACCATTATTTGCAGGGGGAGAAAAAAGGACAGATGAGTAGAAAGCACCTTAGGAAGTTAGTCTCACGCAATTCATCTGAGAGTATTGGAGTTAAAACAAATTGAGCTACATCTTTCACTTGCACTAGAGATAACATCTGCATAAAGGAATCTACATGCTTGGAGAGATCCTCAGAGCACTGGAGAAACAGGATGATATTTTGAATTCGTTCATAAGAATCAACAGAATCCGGACTTGCATTCAACTCTTCAATCTGAGCCACACAGAACTTCTTCCCTGGAGATCAGAAAAGGTTAAAAATTCATCAGAACTACAAATAATAAGGTGGAACCTGGTTAAGAAAGTGTCATTAATCCATTGAGCAATACTACTCTAAGAATGCAACTCACCACACGTTCGTGCCTCAAGATTCTCAGATTCACACAAAGCAAGACCAATGCCAATTTTTTCAGACACAGACAGATGTAGCACTTTTGAGAAATTCTCTAGGAAATCCTCGCTGATATCTGCACTTCCCAATGACTGACAGAGGACTGTACAGGAATTCGGTTTTTCCAAAGCATACCTAAATGTTGATGCTATAACTGCTTCCACCTGGGAGTTTTTCAGGTCAGCCTCAGCCTTGTCAAGATTTAAGTAATCCAAGCAGGTTTGTAGCACCACAATGCTTCCCTCAATTCCAAATCCAAGAAACTGCCAAAAATAAATACACTAGTATCAGCCAGTAAGAACTAAACAATACACTTGCCTCAATTCCATATCCACTAAATCTAAATATTTTTCACTCCTTTCCATCTCAAGCAGGAAATCCTTTTAACTATTATCCCTTTTTCTTTTTCTTTTTTCTAACAGAAAACTGCATATAGCTAGCAAATCATGACCGATTTATGCGCCATAAGTGAGCAACATTCAAGACGGAAACAAATTACGACATTTACAGAATTCAATCCAAGCAGGTAACGATGTAAGCAACCAAAATCATGCAGAGACCATGAAATCCACATGGAATGCTAAGGATCAGCAACCTTTTTGACCTAAGAAGGCACAGAGAGCATTTGCACGTATAGAAATTCGCGAAGATAGAGAGCACCTGAGAGAGTTCTCGACGAACAGAATCGGCGTTGGCTTCGTTCAAGCTCTGGAGCAGGAATCGAACGTGACCTGAGAGAGTAGAAGAAAGATTGAGCATAGTGACGCCGGAGAGTGATCGCTAGGGCTCCGGTGGAGAGCAAGAATCGAGAGATGGATAGCAGAGGTCGAAGAAATTAGGGTGATGCAGAGAGAGCAGTCGGAGGTTTTTGGGAGATTGGGGAGTCTGGTGAATGTTGAATATGGTGAAAAGTGAGAACTTCGCGTCCAGAAGCGTATTTGAGAGTAAAGGCTAAGTGTTTTCTTACAATGACATGCGGGTGATTTTGTGGATAGGCGTACCCTAACGAGAACGGGCAGCCTGGGGCAGCCACTAATCTAAAAAAACAACATTAAAAAATAAGAAATGCCACAGTGTATAATAAATGTAATTTTAACGGTTGACCAGCAAAATGAAAATATAGATGAAAAGGTGAAAATTATGATATCTTTGTTTTTTTTTTTTTGAACATGCAGAATTTAGGGGAAAAAAAAAGGCAATTTTTAAATAATTAGTGAAAATAAAACTCTTAATTAATTAAATTCAAATACTATAATTTGAAGACAAACTATTTGATTCAATGATTGATTCATAATATTTCAATATTTTAAGTCATATAAGTGTAATTTTTTTTTATTTGAAGGAAGGGAGGAAAAAAAATTATTATAACTAACTAAATTATTTTAATGAATAATAATAATAATTTAATTAGTGAAAAATAAGTACAACTGCCCACCTCTTTTCTTTTTAAAAAAATTAAATAAATTATAAAAATGCTTTAATCATTTTATTATCATTACGTCATTTTAATAGCAAAGACTCTTAATTTTCTTCATTCCTTAATAGAATTGCATGTCCTTATCTTTTTACTTTTAGGTATTGTCAAAATGCCATCAATCTTTATTTTCTTTCAATTATGCATTCATACTCCAAAAACTTTATTTTTTTTTTCTTTTTCTTCATGCTAATAATATCCCTAGGTTCACTTGGTAATGCTAAAATTGATAAAACTATCAATATTCTACCAAAATCAATAAATTTTATTTTCCTTAAATTTTAAATGTGATCATGTAATAGTTGCACTTACACTGAGGGTTTCTAGTATATAAAATAAATGATCAGAGTATTTTCATATAGGATTTTTGCAACTTGTGTCAAATGTATAATTAATGTATTTTTTATAATTAATTTACATAAAAAAAGTAAATGTTAATTTAAATTAATCAACTAATCAATTAAAATCATTCACATATTAATGATATTAAAATAAATATCAATTTTTATAATTTTTATATAAATTAATTATTATAAGAAAATATATTTATTATACTTTTTACCTTTACCTTAAAACTACTGTTTAGACAATCCTTTTTTTACTATTTTCTAAATTATGGGGCATAAAATTCTATTTACCTAAAAAGTGAAAACGGATTTTAAAGAAAATGGGGACGGCCCATTCAAAGGGACGTTGACTATCAGTAGAGTTATCCAATGGGCCCTTTTAGGCTCACTTATCTGATGTAACTGGGCTCCAAAAACGGGTTGGGTTGACCCGATCAAGGAACAACGTCTAATGGTTAAGGCGTTGCCCTTGCAGATGAAGAGTAAGTCCTTAGCTGAAGAATCTCCTCCGAAATGGCGACGGCCGGGGAACCACCAGAGGAGAAGCCGAAACAGGATTTTCCGTCACCGAGCGGTCCCCCTCTAAGTATCGATCCGAAATTCCTAGACACTGCTGTTCCATGGATCGATTACGCAGTGAAACAAGCTCTGCAGTACCAGAAGATTGTGGAAGAGACCATGGATTCCACCATTGAAGCTTCTAGATCACGCCTGTCTCAAATTCGCGAGACTTCCTCAGCTCACTTTCACCAAACCATCGTATGCTTCTCAATTCTCCTATTTTGTTTAATTGCAAAAGCTCTGTTTGGTTGCTGAGAATTAAAGCCAACGATTATTTATTCGAATGTTGTATTTGTAGGATTCACTTAATGATGCTATGTCCGAGTTTGCTGATTATGAGGACATGTTCTTTGGGAAGGTTAAAGGTCTCTTCTTTCCCAGTCTTATCTGTAGTTGAGAGGCGTTTTCTTGTGTTTTTTTTTCTTTTTTCCCGCTTTTTATTAGGTTCAGTCTGTTATCCATTCTTCGAAATTTGATTTTAATGGTTTGACATTTTTTGTTGCAGAGGGTGTAAATGTTGCAGCTTTGCATCCTTTGATTACAGGCACTGTTGCTTTTGGATTGGGATGTGTGGTGCTGAAAAGTATGGTCCTTGAAACGTTAGAACATATAATCTTGATATGTTCATGAATGGTTTGAGTCATATTTTGTACTTCTGTCTCATTTAATTTTGAAATGCAGGGCCTAGGCGTTTCTTATATTACAACACCTTAAGACTTTTTGTGAGTGAAGAGGTGAGTCTAATGGGTTGACAATGCATCTGAACTAATTTATGTTGCTGTCATCATATGCTTCTACCTATGTTTATTTGTCTGTATTTTCCTGGCTTTCTGGATGTCTATTCCAGGATTCAGACTGCTAAAGATATACAAAATGAGATTTCAAAATGTATGCCAATTGCTAAGGGTTTTCTGCTGTTCTGGTTTTACAGATGTCTAACGCTCGATTGAGATTATGTAATTCTGCATGTGTCCCATTTAGAGGCAGTGATTGAAAACTGATATGATCCTGATGCACAATTCTTTACATCTTGTTCTTATCATTTTATCCATTCTGTGTTGGAATTGGGAGAAGGGTGAATGGGCTCTGTAACATCTTTACTACATTAATTAGGTCAATTGAGTTTCTCAAGAGTTACAATTATATCTACTAACAGGAGCAATATCAGCTCTTGATCCAAGTCAGAGTTGAAAAGTTTGAAATGCTTTGTCATGGTGAAGATATTTAGGATGATTTGGATGTGATCTTATTTGAACATTGGCAGCCTGGACCACCAGTCCAGCAGTCATTGCCACTTTGTACTTTGTGCAAAGTTTTCCTAGTAAAAGTTTAAAAAGAATACCATCATTTAGATTGAGGGAAGGAAAGGGGAGGGAAGGGAGAAGCTTCCTATTTTATTTTTTCCTTTATTCTTTTTCACTCCTCTGTCTCCTCTCTATTTTCCTCTATCCAAACAGGCTCTAAAGATTTTCTGTTGAATCTGACACAGAAGTGTGAAGTTCTAGAAGGAAAATATCCTGAATGGCTGAATGAGAGATTGAGAGATTTTCTACTTAAAGAGCATATGATGTGCCGTATAAGTGTTCCTGAACCACTTTGAAAATTGATGTATTTGAAGCATTGAGCAATAGTTGGAATAGTGTATTATGATAATATAGAATAGTTCCTTCTGATTTCTAGTATTGCTTTAATGTTTTAATGAGTGATGGAATATTATTCCCCTTCTTTTTTTTTTTTTTTTTCAACTTTCTTTTGTCTTGGGATTGAAAGGATTTTTCCGTATCTTGTGGTAGATTGTGGTCCACTCATTTATAAAATTTAACATGAAGTGGTAGGCCCATTTAACATATTTCTGGGTATGGACTGCTAATTTTACTTTGTATTACTTATGACTGCAGTCATTGCTTTCCAGAGCTGATCTTAAAGTAAAGGAGTTGCGACAATCTATTGACCGCTTAAAGGCTGATGGTGAGAAGTTGGAGGTAGCTAGTTCTCTTGCAGACTCAGTTGATTGGAATGATCCTATTGTTATTTTTCTTGTTCATTTCATGCATCAATTATTTCAAGCATCTATAGTTATCTTTTGTGCTTAAATGAAAGTAAATTTTGTTTTCAGAGGAGTGCATCAGTGGCAGAAGAAGAGCTGATTCGAGGAAAGACAAAACTCAGGTTTGTGATCTGGAATATGGGCAAAGTAAATAATATTAATTGTTATTAATGTGGCTGATCTTCCCATTGGAACCTGTTTTGCTTTACAGACAAGCAGGTAAACAGATCCAAGGTGCAATCCGCTCAGCTTATAAGCTTGAGAGGCAAGCAGCAGGTATTTGATATTATCTTTCCCGTTTTCATGTAAACTTAAAAAACTTTTATGGATGAGAATCACATCAATGCTTTCTTTTGCATCAGGCCTAAAAGATATTCTTGGAGAACTTCCTAGAAGAGAAGCATCTCGATTTAAATCACAGGTAGCTTTTGTGCATATTAGCATGTAAACTACACCATCTTAAAACTTTTCTGTTCTATCTGTTTTGTTGCAATGGATGCATTTTCATGCATATAACAGGAGATACTGTTTATAGATGATATTTTTCTATTTGGTTTTCTTTGATACATGCAATTGCATAATCTGAATACTAGGCATGGCCATGGATTAAACATTAATGAGGACAACTTTGTTGATTTGGGATTGTTGTCTCTGACAGGTCTCCAACCTTGCTTCAGAAGTAAAAAAGGAACGGAATGCATTGACAAAGGAGGTTTCAAAAATCAGTAATTATGGAATTTCAGTTTGAGTATTCTTTTCCTGCACTTCATCATCAGATGTGCCGTGGAGCACAAATGTCACAGTTTTTCTTTCTCTAATGCGAAAGATGTCTAAAAAAATTCAAAACTTTTGAAGTTTATTTCTGAATTTGGCTGCGTGATAAGAGTAGCAGTCGAGTTAGGTTTCCGCTAGTGACATCCTTTTGGAACTTGACTCTTATCATTTGTTAATGCAGATTCAGAATATCTGCCTGACCAAAGAGGTGTATACACAATAATTAAAATTTTTTACATATATTTTAATTTTCTGATCTTTTTTCTTTTTCTTTTTTTTTTTTTGATGTTTTTTTTTTTTTTTTTTTTAAGATTGAAGATCTTTTTTCATTTTAAGATTGAATGATCTTTTAACCCTTTGTCTCCTGCAGTACTTTCATTGATTAAGCTTTTTATTTCGATGCAATCTTTGTATGCTTGTGTCAATCATCCCTAGCTGTTAGTTTTATTGTATGATTTCTGCAAGAACTATGCAATTCAATTCAATGATCCATATCCTTGATATGGAGAGTTCTCTCTATATTAGAACAACATCAGCTTTTATTGTATCTCATTTACTACTCTTTTTCTTTATTTGTACATTTGACTAAGCCCCTTGATATAAATGCATATGCTTCCATGTTATTTCTAGCAAACCCGACTGCATTCTGTCAGACTCGGCATCGAGTGTGTTTATGTAAAATTCTGTAGTGCGATTACTAGTTAACAGCAACAACTGCATCTGGCTACTGAATGCCTTGCTTAAATATTGAACAGGAATATGCCCATGAACGTGCCTCTGCACATGCATCTAACTATCATCAAAATCAAAATAATAAACAATGCTCTCGTTTAAAAAAAAAGGTAATTATCGACTTCACATCACGTGATTCTTCAATTCTCTCGATCACAGACCCACATTTTTTTGGAAAAAAACAGAGTGAAACTTCGGGGAAAAGGGAAATATAGAATTCAGCCTACGGCACTAGAAGAAGGCTGCACCATCCCAACCGGCAACTACTAAGATTTTGACATGTCATTTTCTAATTTTGTGGAATTTTCCCATTTAGACCACAAATATGTATAGAGTCATAGACACTACACTTCCCGATTGGCTCACCCCAATTCTTCATTCCTCTACCTTTGAATTGTAAACCCAAATCATAATCAGACCCATAAAAAAGAATAGTAAACTCAAATAAATAATTTTTTAATTATAAAATATTAATTTTTTAATAAAAGCATCTGAAAATTCTTATTTTTCAGTTTTAAATAGTCTAAATGATGAACGACTCGCTCCGATCAAGTGACATTAGACTTGAGTTAAGACTGTTCACTTTCGATGAGTTGCACATTCAAATTTCACGGAAACCCTTTCTCTCTTCTCCCAATTAACCCTATAAATAATTACAAATTGTTAAAAAAAAAAAAAAAAAGTCTAGACGGCAAAAATAGCAAACTCAAATAAATAATTCAAGTATCAAATCAAGTTCTTTAATGCAATTGTTTCTTTTTTAAACTGAAATTGCTATTTGGGAGCCTCCTACATCATCGACACTGAGTACATCACGTGGAAAGTCACTCTTAACTTTCAAGAAACGTACGTTAAAGCAGTCATCTCACCGGTGGTTGTATCTTTTTGAAACCAAACCACACACAGCAAAAATTTAATGATCTTCCCTTCTTCTTTTTCCTTTCCCTCTTTCCTTTATTTTTTTTCAACTTCTTTTCCATTTTAATCCCAAAAAAAAAAAAAAAAAAAAAAGAAGAAGAAGAAGAAGAAGAAATTAATCCAATGGTATATATATCAATCCCATTGAACATGATTGCCGTTGAGATTTTAACACGTCAGCTGACTCTGAAGTCCTGCTGTTGCTGTTGGCGTTGTTGTTGTTTCATCATCTCCTTCTGCCTCCGGAGCTCCAGAACCTTGCGGTGGGAGTTAGAGTGCTGGGTGAGGACGAAAGTCGGGCTCGCTGCGGGTCGGTATTCCGGTACGAGTCGACCCGACTTGTATCGGACCCCACAAGCGTTGCAGAGTGTTTTGGGACCCAGTGGGCCCGTGCGCCACTGCGGTGTTCTCTCCGAGGCGCAGTGCGTGCACCTCCTCAGGTCTCCGTCCGATGCTGCTGGTAATTGGGCGGATTCTCTCTTTGTTGGCTTCGGTTTCCCGCTCACTGGAACTTCCTTTTCTGGCGGCATCAACATCGACGCGGTTGTTTTTGTCCCCGTCGTCGCCCTTGACCGGTTGCTCCTCTCTCTTCCCGCAAACGAAGCGTTATTTTGTACTGTTAGGGTTCCGGCAAGCGAGTTTGACGGGAAGTCGGTGAACGAGTCGTCAACGAACTGCGATAACCATTCTAGCTCAGCTACTTCATCACTCTTCACACAAACCAAACCAAAAAAAAAAAAAAAAAAACTTAACATCCAAGCAAACATTTAATTCAATTAAAAAA